GCCAGTTTTCTTTTTTAATAGCTAGTAGTTCTTGCCAAGCTTTACATTAAGTAGGTTGTTGGGGATTTTATTTTGGTTTTGTTTTTATCAGCTCTGATTTCAGATTGAATCACAAGCTAACTGCTTGTGTGGTATTTTGCCAAGATCTGCCATTAGCCACGTTTAGAGCTGCAGACTGCCATGTGAATCAGTGCAGACTGATCCGTAGCATCTCAGAGCTTAGTATTGTTTAATTGGAGCCTTCCTGCAGGAAATAGACTCAGGGCTGTGTAAACAGCATAGACTTCAGCAGTTCGGAACATGAAACTACTAAAGCACTGGTTGGGATTTAACTTCCTCTACTTGTTTGTAACACAGGAGGGAAAAAATAGTAGTTACATTATCAAGCATAGAGTTCTTTCTGGTCTTCCTGATGAAGGCCAGCTGAAGGGTTTACATGTGCTTAAGCCAAAGCTGTTAGCCTCTGGGTGTGGTAGAAATACCTACATGAAGTAATTGTGTAATTAAAACCCATGACATAATGCATAGTGGAAGTTGCAGAGACAACCTTCACTTTGGAACTGAACTCTGCTGAAATCTTGAGTTTGCATTCTCAAGTCTACAGCTACTTGGGCTTCTGCTCAACTTCCATGTGATTACCAGGAGCATTAAGTTAAACAAACCTATGTGAGTGCTTGCAAGCTGAGACCCTGCATAGCGCTCTGTGTGAAACTCAGTTCTTTCAGTCCATAGAATTACCTGTTGTTCAGCCATGTCATCAGACTTCTAGGAATAAAGCTGATTGCTGTGATTTAGGAATGGAACCACAAACGGTGTGGTTGGAGTAGATAGATGTGGTTGCGAGAAGAGGTGCAGGAAGAAGAGTATGCTGCAGACAGGTAAAGGCAGTCCGAGTGGGAGTGTAGAGCTTCCCATGCAACTGAGAACAACATGCGGCATGGTTTGCTTGTGTTATTTTCTAACACAAGCTGTTGCGTTTTACAGCTTAGCCACCTTTTACTTTCCTTCCACTAGGTGAAGTGTTTGGGTTAATTGAAAACTATGTGTTCTCTTCTTTCCAGGAAATTCTATGACAGATGTATCCCAGGCAGCCCGGGACCGGTGAGTAACAGAGATGTCTGCAAAATAATTAAACACTTAGCACAACCAAAATAATATCTGGAAGCAAATGATGTGGAAACCTTAGTTTTATGCTCTGACGGGCAGTGAGCATCGATGATGGAGAAAATCCATGTTTTCCTCCATTGTTCTTGTTAATGTTACTTGTGCTCATATGCATGCTGAAAAAATTTCTCTGATAGATGTTTCTTCCCCAGAAAACAACTAGCTCCAAGTATCAGAGAAACAAAACTAATTTTATTTCACAAATAAGTCCAGTGCCAGAAAGCCTCAGCTTCCACATGCCCAGGAAAGGCCTGGAGAAACTGCAACATAGGAAATGTGAATTTCCATGCAGGGTCTGTCTTTTGACTCCAAAGTGCTAAAAAGGAGGAATTTCTTTCCTATCTGAGCACTCTTGCAGGTCTTGGATAACTTTTGGAGGATATTAGAGCTAGTAACAAACAAAGCTTTCCTGGTCATCCAAGACTCAAGGTAACTGTTGGGTGGTGTAACAGTGCTAGAAGTGCTTCTGGGGTGGTGAGCACCTGGTGTCAAATACTTCGGGTCTGTGAAACTGTCTAGTAGATTAACACCAGTCTCCGCTCAGAGCAGCTGCAGAATTTAAACCTAGCATGTGAGCAAACACTGGCAATGGATGTAGTAAGAATCTTTATTAGGCAGAAATTATGATGATGGGAAATCTAGCTAGAGGAGTAACTCCTGAAAGAGCTGAACTTAAATTGTCTTTTGCAGGGCCTGCGAGAAGGTCTGCTTCATTGGGAGACCATGGAGGATTGTGGATGGGAATCTGAATAAACCTGTGTGTAAGGGGATGATGGAAGCTGTGCTCTATCACATCATGACAAAACCAGGCATAACGGAGGGCATGCTGTTGCAGCATTACATGGGGGTACTGCAGCCTGTTGCCGTCTTAGAGATACTGCAGGTATGTGAATCATCAGCTGTGTGAACTTTAATCTGCTTCAGCTTCCACATGTAACAGTCAGCAACCACTGTGATGGAAGTCCCAGGAAAAAAGGGGAATTGTGAATGAACCATGAAAAGCAACCTTCTCCCTTTAGTGTAAATTAACCAAAGCCAGAGCAAGTTAAGGAAGGAAGCCTGCTTTACCTGTCCTTGAAATTACCATATTACTGATTTTAAAATTTGAGCTTGCTTCTGAAATGGATGTACATGCAGTTGAAATTCTAGTTGGTTACCGAAGGGTGGTGGCTTGTCACTGTGAAATACTAGGCTGGACTGCTTAATGCAGTGTTAATCACCATAGAGTTTATCTTAATTTTTTCCTTATATACCTTTCGGACTGAAATGTGTCTGTGCTAGACAATACTGTAAACAGACCTTCTGTCCTGACAGACTGGCTTAAACGCATACATCCTTAATTGTAAAAGAATACATGGTAAGAAAATTTGAGTTTCTCATGGTTTTTTTTCCCACATCTTGAAGCTTGATTGCCACCACTGCTACTTTGCAAATGAAACCTTGAATTTATATTTTTTTTCCTGTAAGGATTCAAAATCTTAATTATAGCAGTAATACTGCAGTCCTTCCCATAAGCATGGCTTCCCCTACTAACAGTGGAAATCAATATTCCAGTGTATGTATGCCATGCTTCTGTCCAAAGGCTCGTACATTTTGGTAACATTGCAAGTTGTATATACTAGTGATCACGCATTGAGCAATCATCCTGTTTCCTAGGTGTTCCAGCACAGCTTGTCCATATGTCCTATGCCACAGCAGCACTGCCAAGAGGGTAGCTGGGATCAGGGGACAGGTTTAAGACTGCAGTACTGAGTGTGTAGTGGTGAGGCATGCACATATGGGAGAGCAATACAGATTCCTAGGCATTTTTAATTCAAATCCACAAAATCAAGCAATTACCTGTACACTTTCTAGACTGGAGATCTTGAATCTAACTTCTCTACCAATAAATTTTATAAGAACTGGTTTTGAAACCACAGACAGAGCTTGTATCTGTAATATACCAAATATTAGTAAATCTAGATGCATACCTATGTAAGATTACTGAATACACACCAGATGTTTTCAGCAAACAAAGCACATAAATTGCCTTGCTGCCTGTTGCTGTGGGAATGAATGCTAACCCATTAGCAAGAACTGACCCAGAAGTCTGGGATTTACATCTATACCAGCCTTAAATTACTTGTAACTGGTACTAAATGTTGAGGTCTGTTGTTGAACCTGTGTTCTGTGTCAGGAGCCAGATGTCAACCACTGTGCTGAAAGGAACAAATGAGCATATATCAAGCCATGTGAACTTGCTTTCCTGTTCTGTAAATCTTTGCCATCCCCATGGCCTTCTGAGGGGGTGAAGCAAAGCCACTTTTAGTATAAGTTGTCTAAAGTTTCTGAGAAGACTGTGGGTAGAACAGCATTCAGTGCCTTTTTTTCGCCGCAACTGCTCAAGCTAAAATACGTGAATCTTTCTACAGGGTCTGGAAACTCTTGGTTGCATCAGACGATTCTACATGAAAAAGCCATCCCTGGTGTCGCTCTTTTCTCAGCCAGTTATGGAAGAACAACTAAACAATCCCAAACTGAGCGAAACCCCAACAATATACTATGAGCCTACAATAGACTGTACTCTCAGGCTGGGAAGAGTGTTCCCCTCTGAAGTGAATTGGAATAAATGGGTGCAGATCATCCCTGTATAAAAGAGGTAAAGCCGAGTCCTGTTAAAGTGGTTTAGCCTGTAGGAGTGAGTGTTAATGCAGATTAAATGTTACAATTTGTGCTCCATCGTGTTTTTATTAAGTTATTTATCCTTTTTACTTTTGAGCGTATTTAAACTGAGAATGAAGGTTAACGTTAAGGCACGGGTAATATTTGATCCTGCTTTAAGTACATTCTCTTCTTACCACTAAGTGCTTGTAGAGCATATAGTTCATAGTTTCTGCTTTACCTTATGGGGTTTTCGCAGGTCGTAGCAAAGACCCCTCTCTTTTTTTCTTCCTGCCCCTAAGGCCAGGGCGGTAACACTCTACCTTTGCTTTGCCTTCCGTTCTGTTGCACAGCAGCTGGCTCTGTGCTCAGGTTTGGTAACTATTCTTTAGCTTAGTTAGCTTGCGGTCCGTGTCCGTTTTAAACACTGGTGTCTCGGTGTGCGTGGCGTTAGTTTACGATGTGTGCTTTCAGCAGAACCCCGGCCCCGTGTGCGAAAGAAGGGACCTACAGCCTTCCCCCCTGCCCCAGGACGGGAAGAACACGCACCCTTCCAGAGGCTCTGTCTGTCGTTCCCCGTTGCGTTCGGCAGCCTTACCCCAGGTCAGGCTTCAAAGCAGCCACACAGCAGACGGTCGCTTCCAGCCAGTGACGCGTTTATTGCAGAAGACACCCCGACCCCATCCCGGCGGGGCCTGCGCTGCCGGGGCCGGGGCCGGGGCGCTGCCCCCCAGGGCGATCCCCCCTCCCCAGCCCTGCGGGGGGAGAGCGGGCCGGGCCCCGGCCGCGGCAGCCAGGCCCCGCGGCCCCCTCAGGCCCCGGGCGGCCGGGGGCCCTCAGTCCCGCCACCGGTGCCCGCACTGCGCGTTGCAGCACTTGTAGAAGGTGGTCATGGGCTCGTCGGCCGAGCGCGTCTGGATCTGCATGAAGTAGGCGCGGGGGTGCTCGCACTTGGGGCACGGCTCTGCGGGGGCGAGGCGCGGCGCCGTGAGGCGAGGCGAGGCCCGGCCCGAC